CACCTCAACCCGCCTCAAAGCCAACGCTGATTGGACGTTCGTTTGGTGAACGGCTCCAAATTTTCTTCAACGGAGAGTCTCCAGACTGATTAGCGAGTGAAATCCTGAAAGCTCGCGAGATCAGGATGGTCTCACGAGCCTAGCAATTTAGTGCTACTTGCTCAATGGAATTTACCATTGGGAACCTACTAGCACTAAGTTGCTAACTGGTTAGCAAGATGCTTCCGACAAACCGCCTACAACCAAACCTGCTTGTGAACCTTCCCCCACAACAATCCCGCCCCCTTGATAATCGACCAATCACATTCACTTTATTCACTCCTGTAAAGTCGTGCACCACTCGGGAGAATTCGGAATAGTTCTTGGATCCCTTTTTTTTCGTGTTTTAATGTAACGGTGAAGAAAACTTCCTCCAGACTGAAATCTGATCCTCATGTTCGATGCTTTAGGGCTTTCAGGCGCCTCATTGTGCTTCTCCTCCGGCAGATGTTATAAAGCTGCAGCTGGTGGAGGCGGGCCTGGTGGAGTGTCTGCTGGAGGTGGTGGGTCAGACTGTGGACGGCGAGCGGGAGGAGGACATCGCCCAGCTCAAGACCGCCTCCGACCTCATGGTTCTCCTGCTTCTGGGGGGTGAGTGTAAGAAGTATTATCACGTTCCTCTGGCTGCATCATCACATGCAGGACTTCGCTGGAAAAAATCGAAATAAGTCATTTTTTTCTTAGTGCATTTGTTCTTGAATTGAGGAGGTAAGTGAGTGACTTTGCCAATTTACATTTAAATTAAGAAAGAACATTTGCATTGTCTTATTTCAAGTGCATCTCTGATGATCACTGCTTTTTGCCACGTTGGTCACGTAACTCCTCCTCCACCACGCGGTGCCTGCGACATCTTTGATATTAGCCGCCGCTGTCGGGTAGCGACAGCCTATGGCGACAGCAAATCCCATAATGCTTTGTGAGGAGATCTCTCAGCACAAAGAATTCTGGGATATATCTGCCTCCTCTGAGGCCTTTCTTTTCTTCTACACTTCCTCTTACGACCCTCGGCCATTTTCAAAGAACCACCGTGAGAAAGGTGAGCTGTAATGACTGTCTGACGCCGTAGCTCACCACAGATATACGCCTGAAAGAAAAAGATGGCTAATGGAACGAGCACGTAGGATGGCCTTACGTAAACATATCAGCAGAATGATTGACAATTAGGAGGACCAATTATTTAGATGATCTACCCAGAAACAAAAGATCGTCCTCTATAACTTTTTAATTAGTCAATAACTGGAGGATAGAGACTCTGAAACCTTTAGCTGACTTAGCGACCAAATTAGAGCAATAATTAAACTGCAAAAATATACATAAATAGTTTGTATATGAGATTTTTTTTTTCTTTTGTCGGTTAATATGCTCTAACCGGAACTCCTGAAGCAAACGAGTTTAAGTTTCAGTTGGTTTAATTCTGTAAAAAATCTTTAAGGACCCTTTTGCTATCTGATTATTAATAGATTAATTGAAAAAATAATCGACAGATTAATCAATTATTAAAATAATCGTTAGTTGCAGCCCTAAAAATATCATAAAGTGTAAAGCCGGACTTTAGAAACTGATTTTTTGGATGAGGCTGACTGCTGATATGGACTTGGTTTCATTCGCACACTGAAAAAAACAATCTAGTCATGAGTAAAAATGTTAAATTAAGTGTATTTACCCTTAATTTGAGTAGGTAAATTAGATAGTTTGCCAATGGAATGAGTATTTTTACTCTTTAAATATGATAATTAGATAATATGCACTTGAAATAAGACAATGCAATTGTTTTTTCTTATTTTTAATGTAAATTGTTTTGTTTCATTGGCAAAATGTCTCTTTTATCTCCTTAATCCAAGAACAAATGCACTTAATTTGAGAAAAAATTACTTATCTAGATTTCGATTTTTTCCAGTGCATTGGTGGACCCTGTAATTAGGTTGGAAACTATACAGAATGAGGGTGCCACCTACTGGCTGGGAGGCTGTCACCTTTAATGAAGACAATATTAAAAAGAAAATGAGTTTGTCTCGCTAGCAGCCTTGCAGTGATGCGTTAGCGTGGAAGCAGCTGTGAAGCCGCCCTCCCTCTCTCTGCAGATGAATCCATGCAGAAGCTGTTCGAGGGAGGAAAAGGCAGCGTCTTCCAGAGGGTCCTCTCTTGGATCCCCTCCCACAACCATCAGCTGCAGCTCGCCGGGGCTTTGGCCATCGCAAACTTTGCCCGCAACGGTAAGCTTTTCACAAGCAAATTAATTAGCATTAGAAGGAGACGCCTGGTGTCTGCAGCAGGGCGTGCGTCCGATCAGTTCTCCTGACATCCACTCTTCCCTGTGTCTCTCTGATCAGACGGGAATTGCATCCACATGGTGGACACCGGGATCGTTCAGAAACTTCTGGATCTGTTGGATCGCCACGTGGAAGAGGGAAACGTGACCGTACAGCACGCCGCGCTCAGCGCTCTAAGGAACCTAGCTATACCTGGTGAGAGGCTCCATCCATTGGACGGCAGGAGGGTTTATCTCCAGCAAAAGCAGCAAAAAAAAGGCTGTTTTCATCTGAGTCCTCAGCTGTAATGAACCCTGCTGCTTTTCTCTGTCTCCTCAGTGGTGAACAAATCCAAAATGCTGTCTGCTGGGGTGGCGGATGTGGTCTTAAAGTTTTTGCAGTCGGAGATGCCTCCTGTCCAGTTTAAACTCCTTGGAACGTTACGAATGCTCATCGATACTCAAGGTAAGGTTTGTTCAGAGCAGATCAGGGTTAATGGAGAGCTACGAGTTTTAGAGAAATAAAACCAGCTTTCAAGATGAAACGCTTCTGTTTTCAACTTCCTCCCGTTATTCAATCATCTCATTAAAATAGAAAATCAATCATTTGTTTGCGGTTTTATTTATGCACCCTATGCACCAGTTTTTTTTGTTTTAACCACAAAGTTCAGGGTGTAAAAGAGGGAACAGTGCAAAAAAAAAAACTGAT